GGTTGGCAAAATTTTGGTTATTCGTACAATTTTGGATGACTTATATAAATTGTAATTCAATTTGTTTGGTTGTAAAAGAGTATATAAGAAATGTTAAATTAGCCATCTCAACTTATGAATAGCAAAATCATTTGAAGTAATAAAAAGACTGTTAATATGATACCAAAGTATTAGAAGTTTAGGACAATCTGAGCAAGGGCTATGATGAAATCTTACAAAGAAAAGGTTAATTGAATATGCTAACACGACAACCAGTATTTTATAAATGGATAATGACGGGAAAAAAGGTCAATTCCCTCGTGAACTTCCGAGCTCCTGTTTATTCATACGTGATCTATTAAGATAGGCTAAAACCCCCATGAACTTTATATAATTTTGAATTTTCTCCATAATCTATTATAATTCGGTCAATTTACATGAAACCGCAGACGGAATCTGTTTTCCGTTAACAGGTGGTGACGTGGATTACAGATGGCTAACGGGATTCGGTTTGGTTTTGTGTTGACCAAAATCAATTGGTTTTTGACCGATTTGACGAAAAACGACGCCGTTTTGCAGTTGAGGGAGAATATGGCTTTTGAAAGTTTAACATAAAAAACATAGTGCTTTAAGCTTGAAGCACTTGGCAATGAACAATATGGCTTTTGAAAGCTCTTCCTGCAATACTCGACCATATATTACTGAGAAGGCTCTTAGACTGTCCTTTAACGGCAATGTTTTCCCACACTCGAGGGTTGTTTTTGTCGGGATTCGAGACATCGACAAGACTCATGCTCATGTTGTTATGGATTGTACAAAGCTTATTGTTCAACGGAACAAGAGCCGCAGCTTCAAGCGACCTTGAGTTTCCTAAATGAACTTTACTGTCCATGAATTTGTTCCATGAATCTGCAGATTCATCAAATACCCTGAGTTTGCAACCGTCCCTACAATCCAATCCGTAATCGCCGTGCTTATATCAGCGATAAAACTCCACCTGTTCTTGTTCGGATCATAAACTTCAGCTGACCGTAGTGTCCTTTGAATTCCTTTGCACTCTCYACCCGCTACATACAAGCAGTTGTTTTTTTTTGTTTTTT